AAGGGGGTTTGGCGGCTCCTTCCTTCTCCAGACTCCCGCCGTCCTCTGAGGATCAAGTGTAACGCTGGAGCTAACTCCGCGAACGGAGCGGCCTCAGCTCGGAGGAAATGGCCGGCGGCTGTTTCGAGGGGACATGTCCCCTCGCTCAGCTCTGAGCCCCTTCCCGCCAGGATCCCGCTCCGTCCCTGCCGTGACCGACACCAAAACCCGCATTCCTGGGCATTCCCAGCCCCCCCGGGGAACCCGAGTGCTGAACCAACACCACTTCTTGCCTTTTTTTCACCTGTTTTTTCTTCCTTTCTTTCTTTCCCCCCCTTTCTTTGACAATCCACGTGATTAACACTACCGCTGGGCAGCCCTCCCAACGCTCCCTGATGGTAGGAAAAAAGACCAGTAGCTCCAAGCACTCACAGGTAGGCAAAAATAATATTTATACGCTATGTACCGGCGTGGTCCATGGCCAGGACGAGGACTATACAGTATATATACGACGACTCGCCAGGGCTAGAGCCTCACTAGTGGGGTTCGGGGAAGGGGGTGCGTGAGTGGGGGCTGGGGAGGGCCCGAACCCCTCCTTGCCGTGCTGGCTGTGGGCGCTCCCCAGCCCGGTTTGCATCCTCCTATGCAGCAATTTTAAAATACATCTGTATATATTATTCTATTCTCCCAGGTAACACTGTACAGTCATAGAAGGTTCTTTAAAAGGAATAATTTACTTAAAGACATCTCTATTTCTTTTTTGTTTTTATACAAATATTTACTGTGAGAGAGATATATATTTATAAAGAAATTAACCCTCTGAGAACCCTACAGCAGCAAGATGTGCACCTTTTTTAATAATTATTATTTATTCAAAAGAACCTAAAACCACTTAAAAGCATTTTTTTAAAAAAATAAGTAGTGCGCACACAAACTCTCTCTGGCCCCTCCCCGCCCCCATCCTTCCCACCCCCAGATGCTACGGGGCAAAAAGCGGGTGGCAAAACCATTCCCCCTGGGAGCAAAGGGACGGGCGATGGGATGGCATCCGTGTTCGCTGCCTGAGAAACACAAATGTGGTGGCCGGAGCGCAATGGCACATCCCTGCGTGTCCCTGCTTTTGGGGACAGCCCTACTGGGGCGCTTGGTGACACAACATCCAGCTCCTTCCCGGTGCCACCCCGGGGGTATTTCCTCCCAGGAGCTGGTTTTCAGGGAAAGCCAAAAATCGAGCAGCCCCTCGGTGGGCAGCGTGGGGTGGCGGTGATGGGCGCTGGTGGGCACAGGGTGGGAGAAACTCCGCAGGGATGAAGCCCCGGTCCCTGTCCCGCAGCCGGCCGGCGAGACGCGATGCTCGGGGGCAACGGGGGGCCAGCTGCTCTCCAGATCCCTTTGCGAGAAGGCAGTGGGGATGGGGACACAGGACAAATCCTGCCTCTGCCACCAACATTTGGACACTCTGCGGCAAATTATAACCCGGAGACACGGCTTCCCTGATGTGGGCAGCGGGGAGAAAAGCACCGGGAGCCGGTCACAGCCCTGCGGCCGGGTGCTGCCGGGGCTCCGTGCCCGGGGTTGGGTGCGGGATGCCTGTGGGTACCAAAGCCTTTCCCACGGCCACGGGGAGCAGGGAGCCACATTTTGGCTCCCAGAGCACCAATGAGCAGCATGGCCGGGGCGAAGGGACCCGCAGCCTGCGTCTTCCCACCTCCTTCCCTCCGTGCAAAGGCGGGGAGCAGGGCAGGAGCGAAGGTTTCCCACGCACGGGGTGGTTTGCCGAGTTCTGCAGCAAAAGCGAAACCAGCGTGCCATCCAGGCCAGCCTAAATCCCAGCGGATGGTGGGATGTGAGGAGAGCGAAGGGGGCCATCGCCCCAAGGGGAGGATGCAAGCGGGGTGCCGGGGAGGAGGGCTGGGGCGCGGGATGAGTTTGCATCTCTAAGGCACGATCCACCTCAAGGTTGGGACGCGGGGACGGGCTGAAGCGCAAGACGGGGTGGTTTTCTCGACTGGCATCTGTTGTTTTCAGAAGAGCATCTGCCTCTGAAGCAGGACTCTCCGGTGAGTGGGGAATTCATAATCCCAGCCTGGCGTGGAGACGGCTCCTGTTCCAGAAGTGGTGCAACCCAACAAATGACTTGCACATTGATTTCCACGTTTGTAATGATTTTTCAAGGGAGAAAATACCAAATTGGTTGGAAAAGTGGAGAAAATACCCAAATTCGAGAGCTTTCCACTCTCCTTTTTGTGCTTTTCACTATTTTGTCCCCGTTAGGGTGAAACTTATGAATTCCACGTTGGAGATGTTGGGTGCGACCCAGCAGTTCAGCAGCTGATGCCCCAGACTCCATTTCCACCCTGAAGATCAATATTTCCAGAAATTGGCCAATTACTGTGTTTACAGTGCTCCTTTCTATCACAGTCTGGCTTTTCCTGATTAGCTGCTTTGCCAGCAATTACGCTACTCGCTTTCGCTGCCACGGACCTCCAGCCACTTGCGTCTGTTTTATGCCTAGAAAGCCATGCCAGTGGGAAAAAAAAACCCACCTCAAAATTGAATGCAGTCTTGACTTCTAGCTGTTGCATCTGCTCAGCAAGTCACCCCCTCTCAGGACCCCGGTGGCTTATTCATTCCCTCGTTCATTTTTAAAAAATACTGAATCACTTCATTCAGATTTAATATTATTATTATTATTATTATTGTTATTATTATT